TTCCTTCTTTCTTTTCTCCCAACTTTATGGAGATATCATTAACATATAACATTGTTGTGTAAGCTTAATGTGTACAATGTGATGATTTGGTACAGGTATGTATTGTGAAATGTTTATCACAATATGATTAGTTAACATACCTTCACCTCACGTAATTACCATTTTGTGGTTATGGTGAAAACATCAAAGCTTTACTCTCATCATATCTTTCACACATGAAATACAGTATTATTAACTACAGTCACCATGCTGTCCCTTGGATTCCTGGAACTTGTTCACTTTATAACTGAAAGTTTGTACTGTTTGGCCATCATTTCCCATTTCCCTCCCCCTCCTGCTCTCTGGCAACCAGCATTCCAGAGAACAGCATTTTCTGATTGGTTTAGGCCAGCTGTGGGGCGGGGCTTATCGCTGGAGCTGGAAATAGAGTCACTTTTCCCTAAATTACCTGACTACCAGACACACTGGGGGTGGAGTCAATATCCTTAAAAATCACACGCCCACACCTGCAGGGAGCAGATGCAAGGCTGCGGCTCAGAGATTAACAGTGTCTCCCTGGACAAGATTTTCTTTTGAAATTTAAAGAGTGCCTTTCACTTTGACCTCTGACCCTCTACCACTGTATTCTATTACTCTGCTGCTTCCCCAGTGAGCACGGGTGTGTTCGCAACTTTTCTCTGCTGGATATATTCATCAAGGGCTCCACACACTTCCAAAAAGCTGCTCATGGATTTGAACTTTATTTGGAAACAACCTTGACCTTTCGCATGCACTTAACAACGTGTACCCACCCACCTTGTCATCCCTGCTCCTTCTGTCAGGCAGGAACGCACAATGGTGAGGGATTCAGACTGTGGGGCTGGTCGGCCTGACTGCATACAGTAGTGGTCCTGCCACATGCTTGCTCTGGACCTTGGAGAACTTACTTAACCTTCCGAGCCTTGGTTTCCTCATCTGCAAGGTGGGGTCATAGGCGCTCACACAGCATGGAGTGGCCGTCGGTGCCGAAGGCCATGATGATGTATATGCAACACTTGGTCCAGCACCTGGCACACAGGAAGTGCTTCATAAGTGGGATGAAGATGAGGGTGATGATGGCAAGTCATTGGCCTTGGCTTTTGCTGGGTCCTTGCCAGCTACATGGAGTCTGTCACTACAAAATGTGACATTCTCCATGGTTCAAATAACAAAATCTAAAGGTTACTTTTCCTACACATCTCCTTTTTCTTTGGCAAGAATTTATAGCACCACAAATAATGCAATCCAAGGGATGCTGAAATCTGAAGTTGGCATTTGTATAACACTATTACTATAAAAATAAAATTGTAAAAGGGAAATGGGGCACTGGAAAAGTGATTGTAGCACTGGAGGTATTAAAATATTAACACTGAATTATTAACAATAATTAATAATGTTGATGTTAAGCAGTTCCTCCCAGAAGAGTAGTGTCAACCTGTTTCACAGACAAGGAGCACCCCCTTCAGGAGAACAGTCAGTGGTCACGGAACAGGAAGACACCGGGAGTCATGTATTTCATTGCAAATAGCCTCTAGGCCCTGGCCAGGTAGCTCAGTGGGTTGAAGCATCATCCCAGATTCGCTAAGGTTGTGAGTTCAATCCCCAGTCAGGGCACATATAAGAATCAACCATTGAATGCATAGATAAGCGGAACAACAAATTGATATCTCTCTTTCTTGCTCTCTCTAAAATCAATAAATGCATTTTTTTAAAACCGTTAGTTTTCAGTGAAGCAATGTCTCTGTCCCTTCCTTTTCAAACAAAAACTCAATTTATAAAAATCCTGGTCTACCTAGATTACATTCCCCGTTTCTCTTCTTTCCTCCCCTCGCTGAAATAGTCGCTCACGAAATCCATGCCCCAAACACCGCCCTTTGCGGAAGACACATTCCGGAAACGAAAACCAGACCCGGAAGCGATCGCTGCCCTCCCACGTGCGTCGCGGCACTGTGGACCGTAGCCAAGACTCGGAAACAACCTAACCGCTCACCAGCAGAGGCAGGGACAAACACGACGGGAGGCCTTGTGGAATACACCCAAGGGAACGTTCCCCAGCCACGCAAAAGAAGGAAACCCTGCCTTTTGCGACAACGCGGATGGCCCTTAACGGCATTACACTGCGTGAAATAAGTCACACAGAGCCAGAGAAGTACTGCAGGGTGTCCCTTATAGGCGGAACTAAAGAAAGTCAAATTCACAGAAACGGAGAGGAGAAACGTGGTTGCCTGGCGCTGGGGGTGGTGGGGGAAATAGGGCGAGGCTGGTAAAAGGGAACAAATTTTCAGCTGTGAGATGAGTAAGGTCTGAGGATCGAATGTAAAACACAGTGATTAGAGTTGATAACACTGCATTGTGTAATTGACATTTGCTAAGAGAACTTAAACGTTCTCACCAAATACATCTATCTCTCTCTATATCTATATATATATATGTGAGGTGATGGATGTGTTCATTTACTAGGTGGGAGGAACCTTTCACAGTGTATACATATGTCAAATCATCATGAGGCACACTTTAAATATCTTATGATTTGACTTGTCAATTATGCCTCAATAAACCCGAAGGGGGAAAAAAAACACAAAGAAAACGGCACATCCCACACCCCACTCAGCTTTTGTTATATCACACAGCTCTGGTGTTCGTGTCGCTACAGAAACATCAGCGCTAAGGAGAGAAATCAGGTCTCCAAAATCTCCAGCAGATGCAGAAACTTAGGAGATTCTCAAGATTTGGAAGCTACTAGAACCCTCTGCACAGGCAAGTGGAGGTGAGAAGAACTGGTTTAAAATGAAGATGTTCAGGCCCAATCCCAGAGACCCTAAGTCACAGTGTCGGGTGGGGCCTGAGAGTCTGCATTCGCCCTGGCTCCTTGGAGGAGTCTGAAGCAGGGATGGTCTGGATGCTTCAGGGTCCTGGTCGGGAAGCTCAGAGGACTGGACCCCCACCGCTGAAGACACACACAACAGACACTCAGTAGATTCCTGTCGCAGGAGTGTGCGACAGGGTGTGTGTTACGGACTGAATGTTTATGTTCCCTCAAAATTCATAGCCCGTCTTAGCTGTCCCCACTTTATCACCAGGCCAGCTGTACCACCTTCCCCTCTGCCACCTCTCTGTCCCTCTGTTTTCACCGTTGCCTTACTCCGACCCAGCCTCCATTCTGGGCCTGGCAAGATGTTTAAGATAAGAGAATCCAATCACTCACCCCCATTTTGAGAATTCCCCTGTGACTGAAAAAAGAGTTATACTTCTTCAACTTAGTGCCCAAGTATTTCGGAGTCTTTAAGAACACAAATTTTCCATTATTTCTTTGCTGTGTTAATACATGCTTTCACTGCAAGTGGTAGTGAATACAACCCAACCTCCCATAAACACCAAAGAAAAGGTATTGGTTTATATAAATGGAGAGTCAGGCAACAATGTGGGCTTCAGGCATGGCTTGATCCAGGGGTTTGTGCCATCACCAGGACTCTGCTCCAGGTTTCTTCTTTTTGTAGCTCTGCCTTCCTTTGCTGATTTTGTCTGTCTTTGAACAGCTTTCTACCCAGCAGGAACATGATCCCAGAGCTCCACACCTCATAGCTACAATCCTTTAACCAGAACAACAGAGAACAGGCTTTTGTTCCAGCAAGGGGCTCTGAAATTCACCCTGATGCAACCTGTTGGGATCTCATGCCCACGGCTGGCCATACCAATCAATTCGGGGATTATCACAATTATTACCATCCAAGCCTTTATTGCATGGAACGGCAGTCTAGGTTTTCTCACTGGCTTCCAATAGATGGTGATCATATTATTCCTCTCTGTATAGTGGTGCTCTGTGAATGTGAACTGGATTTTTAGAACACATGGATGGTTGTCCCCTTTTCTCATGAACCCTGGCACTAGCCCAACCCAGGCCTCAGCAATGTCTCCGTGGGGCCCCCATTCATGGTAATGAATAAGTAAACCTCACATTTTACTACCTCGCCCTCCCTCTGGCTTCATAGGACCTCAGCTCATACAATGCCCTCTGCAGCCAAGTGCTCGTGACTTCTCCGAGGCTGTCTCCACACGAGCTTACAAAACGGCCGTGTGTTCCCTGTGGAGTGGTGAGTGTTGCTGTCTTTACCGAGCTCCATGTCTCAGGGGCTTCAGTCCCCAGTCTCCATCACTGGGTCTCCATGGACATCCCGGATCTCTCTGAGTGGCAGAGTTGAGGACACAGCCTATCCTCCTGGTGGCTGGCAGGTCCCACGGCAGTGCTGTTCTGGCCCCCGTGTGTCACAGGGGTCTCTGTGGAGACCCCCTCAGGTTCCCTCTCTTCCCTGGGCCCAAGCACTGGTCTGTGCACCAGGCTGGAGTCAAAGACCAGAGGCGGTCATCACGCTCCACTCGGAATCACTTCTGCCCCCTGGTTCGGAGACACGGGACTCAAGTCAAGTTTGTCCTGCTGGGTGCCTGTCTCTCTGTCCCTGGTGCCCAGAGACTCCTGGCTGCACCCAGAAGCCGCCTCACTGTTTCTCGTACTGGCCTGGGAGTGTCTGGTCACGGCTGAGACCTTGACCATGAGGACTGCACTCACAAGGATGCCTTGGTCATGTCCAACCCTCTCTGGGTGGCGTGCGGGGGCTGGCCTGTTGGGCGACTGACTTGCTGAGGCTGTGGTTAGTGCATCTGTGAAACAGGGCTATACTCCCAACCTCTCGGCTCTGCAGGGCACCTAATAAGAGAAAAGACTTGGAAATGCCCAAGGGGGGTCTCTTATTTTTTAGGTTGATTTGGCCCAGTGTCCTAGTCCCCTATGGTGCTTAGAAATAGCTCCCTGGAACACTTCTGATGGTCTAACACACCTGCTCTGCCCAGGTCATGGAACGGGGGTCACATACAAGATACGGTCTCTGCCTCGGCATAACTTTCACCGAGAAGAGCTGTGTCTAAATCAGTGAATCTATCATCTATCTATGTATCTATGTATCGGTTATTCCTATTTGTATTTTCAGTCCCTAACCCAAGCGGAATGCAGAGTGGACAAAGTCAGCTGATCCACCAATCCGAGCTGAGACTTACAGAGCACCTACTACGCACCAGGCTGTATATCAAATATGCTGTCATCAGTATGTCATCGGATCCTCACAGCGGTCCCACAAGGTAGGGACCCATCTTCTTCCTAAGTGAGGAAACAGAGGCCTGGAGAGGTCTACCCATTTGCCCAAGGTCACACAGCAGTTAAGTAGCAGAGATGGGATTTGAACCTGCATCTCTCTGATGATTAAGTACAAGTTTGTTTCTCATTCAAACATGTTTCCTAAACACAGGTATCATCTGTGCTTGAATTCAGAAGATGTAATTCCTTCTAGCACATAGAACATGCCACAGGAACATCTGATTGATTAAATGAAGAAATATAGCAGGGTGATAGCTAACTAGCGAGTGAGATGGATAGATAGATAGATACATTCATAGATGGGTGATACATTGATTCATAGATACATAGATTGAGTGATTTAGACACAGCTATTCTTGATAAGAATTATGCCAGGACAAAATCTGTACCTTATGTTCTTTCTGACTCAGAAATCTATGCCAAGCTGTGTGCCCAGTAAACATTCTTCATCTGCTTACTAGATTACAGCATCCTGGGCGGTTAGGTGCGCAAGCCAAGGATTTTTTAAATGAAGGTCTTGCTCCTAAGACCTCGCATCTCTGACAGCACCATCTGAACGTCCCTGGGCCCAGAAGGCCGTGCAAGACCGATACTGCGGGGCGGTCCCATGGGTTCCGTGCTGACGGGCCCTGGCTGCAGTTTATTCCATCTTGTGCAGCTCGGTTTCCATCACAGACCAATGGGAGCTCCTTCGTTTTCGGGGACCAGAGCCCAGGGGCTTCGGCAATTAGAAACTTCATTTCGTGATGACAGATGATCCAATGGGGGGAAGGGTGTGTGCCCAGGCTGGAAAACGGGTCACTCTCATTATGAACAGAGCCCAGACTTGCAGGAGCTCTGCACTGTGATCCCATTCAATATATAACCCAAAACCAGGCTGAGCGCCGAGGGCCTGGCTGAAGGGTCTTGACTTTAGCGATCTCCCAGAACTCTCAGGGTGAGGCCATTCTTCCTGGAAGGGCAGCCCCGCGGCAAATCCCGAGAGCGGCGTGACATGGAAAGTGCCCTGGACTGGGAGCGAAGAGGCTGCCTTAGCCCCACCTCTGCCACTATTGGCGGTGTGACCTTGAACCCAGGGACTCTGTTTCCTTAACTGTTTAACAGGAGAGTTAAACACAAATAACTTCCTTGCTGACTTTCCATCTAGGATTCTATCTAAGGTTTGGGAGGGGGGAGGGGGAGGAAAAAGGGAGGGAGTAGGAAGAGGGAACTGGAGGCAGGCGGGAGGCAGTTTCTACCTGTCTTTACGAGAACCATTTTTTGCGCTCATCCTTTCCTATTCCGAATCCTATGGCATTCTGTCCACAGCTTGCAATTGCAATGGGCCATGATGGAAGTATCCACCTCATGGAAATTTGCAGTTGCTACATCAGAGCTCTTTTTTTATATAGAACCAGTTGCTCAACATTTACTATCACTTCACTGGCTAACATTTACTGAGCACCTACCGTACGCTAGGCACTGTATGTAGATGATCTCTCTCTCACTTCTAGCTTCTACAGCCATGTGACAAACTTTGCAAAGGCTCCAAGAGATGCAGTAACTTGCCCAGTGTCACTCAGCATGCGGGAGGTGGGGCTGATATTCAAACTCAGGACTGACGGAATCCTAGCTCCATGTCCTCCATCCGCTATCACGCTTGCCTCTCTGAATGTGGAAAGCCCGAGGTGGTCAGAGCCACAAATACCACTGGATCACAGCCCCGAAAGGCACCCCAGGGAGAGAGGGGTGCTGGGTCATAGAGATGCTAGCTCTTGTTTCTCTGCCCAAAAAACATCTTGGGATAGTCTCAACCCCCCCCCCCACCCCGCCCTTAGCATTTCCCAGCTCACACTGTGAACACTGAACTGGCCTGGACTCCACTTTTCCCATTGCCCTCTCCTGGTGGCTTTGTGTTCCGTGAACTTACAACCACGTTATTTGGTGCCTTCGCCAAAGGTCAGTTTACGAGGCTGCTTTGGGTGTTGAGGGTCAATAACACTGTAAGTTTACCACTGTGCTAGGCTGATGCGTATACACATCAGGAACCAATCAGAGGACAGTCTCAGGGTGTTGGATGAAGGGTTAGACCCTGTGCTCCCAATGTGGACATTGCTATGGATGGAAGGTTCCACATAAGCTAATTCAGGGGGGAGAGATGCAGTTCACTGCGAGCGCTGCGCCCCCTTGGTTCATTAATGGTTCACCCCTCCAAAGGCCTTCCTTCCTCTCCTTCACCGCAGGAGGAAATAGCTCTCAACTGGGTCTGGAAAAGCAACCCGGCATTAAGAAATGATAACTAAGGTCCATTATCAAAGACATTTTGAATAAAAGCCATATGTCCTTAATGAGATCAATCGAGCACCCAGAAAAGTGATTTTTTCAATGGTTCCTGTAATGTCGAGGCAACTCACGCCTCTGCCATTGACTTGGGACTGAACCGAGTTGAGCTTATCGGTTTCCCCAGGACCACAAGGATGCCCTCTTGCACCTCACACGTCTGAGTGTTTTAATCGGTGGCAGATGCTTGGTGACTTCCTGGCAGAACTGATTCAGTAGGAAGCCGGGCTGCCTCTGGCAGGGTCTCTCTGGACCCTCACTGGTCATACAACTGAGCAGCGTGAATTTTCCCTGGAGCCTGATTTCCCACCCCTTGAGTTACTTCCCATGAAGCTCAGTGAGCTCAGTGAAGTGCATGCGGGTAGAAATTCACATCCCCTAGCGTCTCTCCCGCCGAGGTGGCCGGGAGCCTCATCGGCAGCTCTCGGTCTTTGGCTCAGAAGTGGTTTAGTGAGAAGCTGTCTCCGGCTCCTTGGTAACCAGCATGGAAACACTCAGCAGGAGGACTTCAGCGTGAGGTGCTCAGCTGCGGGGTGCCCACAGCCGAGAAGAGCTGTGAGCACCCCACGGTTAGGAAGTGAGTACCAGGGATCTAGATGAGTTTTGTTCTTGACTGGCCATGGGGACTTAGCCAAGTGACTCTCATCCTCATGCAGACCTCAAATTCCCTGTGAAATGTGGCGGATCGGCTTACCCAGGGCTGGGAGAATCGAGTGGCTTTGGAGGTGAGGCAGGAGGGGTGAGTGAGTTCGGGGCTCGGGACTAAGAAACCAGACTGCCTGTCCCACCTAAAAGAAAACCAGCAACAATACCAACGATAACGCAAATAATAGCCGTGCCAGTTAACACAATCGAACTCAGGTCATTCCAGGCCCCATCTTAAACACTGCACACACTCATGTGGGTCTCATAACACTCCGGTGACGTGAGTTCCAGCTCCACTTCCCCAGTGAAAAAGCGGAAGCACAGAGATGCTCAGGAACTTGCCCAGAGTCACACAGCTGATGAGCGAAAAACAAAATCCTCCGTGGATCAGATCTGGGAAACACACGGCCAGTCTTCAGTCTCCATTCTAGGAGGTCTCTAGGTGATCTCTAACATCCTGCCAGTCCTGCCAGTCGAAATCTCTGCGGAAAGCAGAATCTGCTCGTAATAACTGCTCGGTAAAGGCTGATCGAGTCATTATGTGGGAATCCGGTCTCAGGTGACAGCATCGGTTCAGGAGTTACCGGTTCCGTGTTGAGCATCTCCAGGTTTTCGTCCACGTTGGCAGAACTGCACAGAGGCTGACAGTGCACAAAGCCTGTTTGCTCTCTGGCCCTTTAAAGATAACGTTTGCCGAGCCCAGGACTAGCAGTACCAAGGGGCAGGGAAGCGGGAAAACCCAGTGGGACGCACTGGAGACCGCAAGGCGTGCGCGGGCTCCAGCGGGTCAGAGGAGGCGAGCGACAGCATGGTTAATGGGTGGGTCGATGAAAGGGAAAGTGGTTAGAAATTTGGCCGAACACTCAGCCCAGGCTGAAACAAAAGTCTTCCGACATGGAGCAGCTTCTCCGGGCAGTAAACAGCATTGCCCAAAGGCAAGGGGCTGGATCAGGTCCTGGGCTGATTTTGAAGCAGATGCTGTTGCAATTCACTCAGCCAATCGATGCTTCGTTCACCAGGAAGGAGGGGTGGAGCATGCTGGAGTTCAAGGAAGGGGAGCTGGGTTTCAGGTGGGGAAAGCCTTTCTTTCAGTCCCTCCTCCCTTCCCTCATCCCTTTATCAAACGCCCACCAGGTATCGGCATCAGACAGACACCACCGAGTGAGGAATGATGCAGGAGCATGGGATGTTAAGGAGACAGGGCCTATGGAAACAATGCAAAGGGTGCAGAGAAGGGAGAAAAGGAAATGAGAAAGAAAGGGAAACACAGCAGAGGAAAGGAAGAACACCAGCAAGGGAGACACACAGAGATAAAGAGGCAGAGAGAGAAGGAAGGTGGGAGAGGGGGTCGGAAAACGAAGAGGATCCGCGAAGGGTTGGGCTGTGAGTGTCACAGTACGTGACCACCCTTCCCAGTTTCCCTCTGCAGTGCTGCTCACACACCGGGCATGGATCCGACGCCACTCCAGGCCCTGAGCCGTTTGGAGGCCGTGGTCCACTTGGTTCTCACCGGAGGAAATTCGTCTCTGACGTGCCCCTGGGAGTGCAGAGCATCGCCCGGTGGGGTGTTAAACTTGGACATAGACCGGCTCACAGGCAGAAAGTCTCCCAGCTTAGGTATCTGGCAGAAGAATGAAAAGAGCTTAATAATCTGAGGAGATGAGACTTGCGGACAAGTAACAAGGTAAAAGTACTGTGGAGTCACAGACTTTTGGAGCTAGAAGAATCCGTGTGATGACAATGACGGTGATGACGATGACGATGATGATGATGATGATGATGACGATGATGATGGGGGGTGATGACAACGGAGCAGCAAACTAGCTCGGATATTGGTTTCAACACGTTCCAGGCACGATGCTAGTTACTTTGTCTCTGAATCCTTCTAACACCCCTATAACACGTGTTTCTGTTATCTTCATTTTTCAGAGAAAAAAATTGAGGCTCTGAAAAGCAAAGCTACTCACCAAGGTCAAAGAAAGGTGGGGCTGGGATTTGAACCCTTCTTTCGGAGCCCCGAGCACATGCTAAGAACCATGAAGCCACTGGTTTTCTGATTATGGACCCTGGACCATCAGCATCAGAATCACCCCCGGGTGTGGCCATTTAAGATGCAGATCCCTGGGCCCCACCCAGATGCCTTGAACTTGAACGTCTGGAGGAGGGTGGTCTCCGCTCTGCATTTTGAACCAAGTTCCCCAAATCAGGTCCCTGCCTTGGCTGAGGCTTGCAAATCACCCTACAAGACTCAGGTTCCAGGCCGGCCCTTCAACTGTGATTCATAAACAGCTTTCCAAGCGTTCGTGACCTCCTGCTAAACTGGAGTGCTGTACAACACACGTTCATTCCCTCTCCTCGTCCCGTCAGAGCAATGCAGACCGTTCTGCCCCATTGACTTTGAATGAGACCACATGACTGACTTCACCCAATGGAGTGTGAACAGATGGGATGTGATAGAACCTTGAACCCTGTTTGCACACTGTGCCTTGTCTCTCGAGCTTCTGCCATCCACACAAAAAGGAAAGAGCAGCTGTCCCTTCAGAATCAGACACGGGGCAGAGCTGAACTGTCCCGAAACCCAGATCCAAGTGCAGCCAACCCATAGTGTGAAATGGAAACGCCTCCGGGATCTGACCATAAACACATGAGCAAGAAATTAGAGGAAGCAAGAAAAGTAGGTGCTTGTTGTTGGTAGCCATTGAGTTGAGGGATGATTTGTTATGCAGCATAACTTCAGCTATGGCTGACTGATACAGCTAAAATATATATCCTGTGTTGTGTGTCCACTTTTATATTGTGGGCCCACTGTTCTGGAAGGAAGATACAGAGAACTTCCAGCAAGTTGTCAAGAGACCAGGGGCCCAAAAAGTATTGAGAGCCACAGATCTACTAGAAAGTCCTCCCCATTCTCTGCGGAACCTCAGGCTCCGGGACTGACTTGAGCTGAGTGAGTTTCCACAATCCCTCCCTGCCTCTTGTAATGCAAATGTTTATTTCAGCCTTAAACTTTAAGGGGTCTGGCCAAATGTGCCACAGCAGTTCTGAGAAGGTGGTCTGAGGGATGGCCCACTTTCAAATCTTTAAACTCTTAAAATTATCACAAGAGACAGAGAGAGAGAGAGAGAGAGAGAGAGAGAGAGAGGAAGAAATGGGAAGAGGAATTATTAAAGTTCAGAGACATTTTCTAAGATTCCCCCGCTTTGGAACCTTATAACTTGCCCATTTATCTCTCCAGTGGAAGGAAATTTATCTCTACCTCTGAAATAAACATCAGCAACTCAGTCAATGTTTTGCCAGAAACATGAAAAATTAAAAATATCAGGTTGGGCTGGCTTCTGTGTAAATATGTACAGGATCTACATTCGACACCTCAATCATGAAAATTATGTTAACATGTCACAGGACATTAATATTTTCAAGACCATTGGGCAATATTTCTAGAAATGTGTGACTACAGGCAATTTACATTTTTGTTTGGACCTGCAGGCCATGAAGGAAGAGCCCCAAGGGCACCTGGTAGGAGGGGTGAGGCCCCCCAGAGGGTGGGACGTGACCCAGCCAAGGTTTCGTTTGTTTTGTGTCCCTGCTCATCTATTATCCAAGTTGGAGGCCGAGCAAGCCGATCTGTTAGCAATCTCTTCGCCTGCGCCGGCCGCATCCCCTCAGCTGCTGTCAGTGGAACATTTCATCACGGATGGATGGGTTCTGCCCGGTCAGGGAGACGCAACTGAACTTGAACGGAGTCCAGCTGGCAGGGTGTCTGATTGCCAAAATGACCTGCTGCTTTCAAGGAGAGCAGAATTCAAACGGTGGTCAGTGAGGTGCTCAAGGTGATGCAGGGTGAGAAAGGGCGCCGGCACTGGCATGCCACCACCGAGGGCCACACCGGAACTGCAGGACAGGTTCGGCCCCCGACCCCGCCGCTTAGGATGGCGGGAACTGAAACGGCTTCTTCTCCCCTCCGCCTCCCAGTAGCGGCCAGGCTCTCGGTCCTGTTATGTTTTGATGCATCTTTTGTTTGTCAATGTAGTCGGCCTAGGTTTGGATCCCAGATTTGTTGTGCATTGTAAGGGCATTACTTAACTTCTCTGTGTCTCTGTAATCTTACTGCACAGTGAGGACAACATACCTTGAAAATTAAATGAGCTGGTAAGATGGGTAGTGCCATGTGGAAGTTAAGAACATGGGCTGTGGAACTTCTGGCTGGGTTTGAATCCCAGCTCTACCACTCACCTGCTGTGCAGCCTAGAGCAAGCTGCTTCACCTCTCTGTGCTTCAGTTTCTTCATATATGACATGAACATGGCAATGGTTCTCACCTGGAAGGCTTGTCTTAATGTTACTACAGTCAGCACTTCTGGGCCTAAGTCTAGGACCTTGGGGGTTTATAGTGTTCTCCCAGCTGGTTCTGCAAGCAGGTGGGGGCGCAGGGCATCTCTGTGAGAAAATTGTCTGTGTGTCCTTGGATAACTGACTTCCCTCCTCTGAGCTTCGGTCTCTGCATCCATAAAATGGAACAATTAGACTGAATGGTCTGTTAATTGCTCCTTTAAAACTTTGTGATTTCTGTGGGCACGTACACGGACCCCAAAGATGCTGCTTCATGCCTCTGTGCCTTTGCACATGCTGTTCCTTCTGCCTGGAGAAACCACCCTTCCTCTGTCCACCGGGGAGCGTCTGCTCCCCTTCCACACCTCGGCCCTCAGGTTGTGTCCTCGGCAAACCCTCCATCTCATCCAAGCAAAGAGGATGAAGCCTGGCCCTGGCCTCTCTACTCGCTCTTAGACTCAGGCTCCTGGTGCACTCACCCCCTTGTATTAAACTCATGGGATGCACGCAGACCGAGTCTGTTCATCCTCCTACAGCCCCACTGCCAGCAAGCCAGGGAGACTTCCTTCAGTGGGGTTGCCCTTAACAGGCATAAGCTGGACCTCCCTGCAGGAAGGGGCCAGGAGACGGGCGGGGGGACAGGGAGGGTGGTCCAGGCAGTGAGTGAGGTGAAGACAGGTGTGGGGGGGAGGACAGGGAGGAGGCCAGCTTCTCTAGTTTGGAGGCGAGCACCCCAAGCCCTGATTTTGTTCTGGCTTAGGATAGAGCTTAAAGTAAGTGTTCAATGAATATTTGTAGAATGATGGAGAGGATAGATGGATGGATGGCTGGATGTGAAGGGACGAGATGAAATTAGATGAATGGGTAGATGGATGGATAGGTGGGTGGGTGGATGGGCAGGGATGAGATGAAATTGAATGGATGGGTGGATGGATGAATGAGAAGGGATGAGATGAAAATGGATGGGTGGGTGGGTGGGTGGATGGGAAGGGATGAGATGAAATTGGATGGGTGGGTGGGTGGGTGGGCGTGTGAATGAATAATCGTGGAGTCAGGATGAAAAGCCAGATGGGAGCCTGAAAAGCCACAGGGACAACAGAAACTCAGGAAACCGAGACCCAGATGAAAGGCAGTGTACGTTTGTCTGGGGAGAGCAATTCAGAGAACGGGGTTAGCTGATCTCGGCCTCACGGACGAGCATCTGGGCCATCACCGGAGTCTGTGGGGTGAGTGTACGTTTGGGGTTTCCCGCAGTGGGGCTCTGAAATGGAGCGAGCGTGTTTGGAAGTTGCCACTTTCAAGCACCGAGATGACAGCAGAAGGAGAAGACGGGGCTTCCCAAACCCTATTTTCTCTGCTGAGGATGCCCCTCCCCTGCCCTTGACCCTCAGCCTTTCAGACCCTAGTATCACTTCTAAAGGGTCTGGACCACTCTCTGGCCTTGAAGCATCTCAGCTCCTTATGCAGTGACCTCCAGAGAGCCCACCCCTCTGCATTCCCCGCCATGATGGCCCTGGTCCTGCACTGACTTAACGTATTCCGTCCAGATAATCAGTTCATGGACGAGAGTGCTCCCAGCATATGAAGGCAAAGGAACAATATAAACTATACGTCATCAAAGATACATTACTGCAATACAGACTGCAGTGTGATTCTGACACGGACGACCCAGAGCCAGCACAGGGCTTGGAGCAGAGCACCAGCAACACCGCCTAGACTCCAGATGCCAGCCGCAAGGTCAGGGGTGCCCCGGCCACCCGCATGGCTGACCGCCTGGCTACAAAGGTGGGGGTTCCCACCACCTCCCTCGGGTTTGATGATTCACCAGAACAACTCACAGAACTCAGGAAAGTGCTAGGCTTATGCCACGGTTTTCTTGTGCAAAATGAAAATCTGGACCAGCCACATGAAGAGACACATAGGATGTTATGGACTAGATTGCATGGCCCCGAAATCCATGTTGGAGCCTGGACCCCCAATACCTCCGAACATGACTGCATTTGGAGACGGGCCTTTACAGAGGTGATTAAGTGCAAATGCGGGCCTCAGGGCGGGCCCTCATCCAGCCTGACCTGTGGCCTTACAAAAAGATGGACTTTGGCACAGAGGACAGGCCACGTGAGGACACGGGGAGAAGACAGCCACCTGTCAATCAAGCAGAGGAGACTGAACAGAAACCAAACCTTCCGCTGCCTCATCTGGGACCTCCAACTTCCAGAGCTGTGAGAAATCAGTTTCTGCTGTTGAAGCCAACCGTTCTGTGAACAAAGATGCTCGTGTCCCCTGGGAACTTCCAAGGGTGTTAGAGAGATGCCCCCTCAAGCATCAGGGACCAAGACCAGCCCAACCCAAATACACGATCTAAACATATGTGCATGGTACATGTATATATAAATCCTGTTTTGAGTTGTTCTGATTGTGCAGATGTGGGCAAAGGTAGGTTTACAGCGGTGGTACAGGTACATACTGCAGTCACTAATACACAATAATACAAGAACAGATACACTCTGTGTTTTGTGTACTTGACCCTGTATGCCCGTGTTTGCTCACCCTTGTGCATTGGGAAGATCTGCTCGCTTACGTCAACAGGAGTCGTCTCCGGCTGGGGGTTCTTCCTTCTGGGAATGTCAACGTTTGAGTGAAAGCGCGTTGTGGTCAGAATTCTATTTGTCTTCGCTTCTCACGGTCCGTCTCGGAGGCTCGGGCCCATTGCAGGGGTTAAGAACTTGGATCAGATTCCGTCTCATGAGGCGGATGGTTTTTCCCGGATTTCGCTCTCTCCCGTTGCCAGAAGGAGTTTATAACCATGGCTCCTGCCCCAGAGTCGCCACCGTGGACAGAGCCTGATACCGTGTCTGGGACCCAGTCGCTGGCTCTCATGGGAACACCATTGTAGCGATCACAGTTAACGCTCTTAGAACTCATCTCGGCACCTGGTAAGTTACCTGGGAAACTACATTAGTGAGCACCTATGGCACGCGCAGCAGCTAGTGAACAGAGCAAGGACACCTGTTCCGCCCCCCCGCCCCCGATGCTCCTAGAGACTTACAACCCGGGAGAAGTTCCCTGAGCCCCCACAGGACACAGCATGGCACATACCCAGGAAGGTCATCTATTGAGGTTCTGGTGGCACCTGAAAGGTGAGGGACCTGCAGGGTCCCACAGGGCTCAGGGAACGGGGGTGGGGCTGTGTCTCAGGAGAACGGCACCCAGGCACAGGGCCAGGAGTGGTCTCAGAGTGCCCATCATGCCTGTATCTGCCTTTCCCATCCCAGTCTTGGGGGTGAGCACGTCCCACTCCCCGCCTCTTGCAGGCTCACGTACCCTGATGCCTGACGCGTTCCCGACAGTAGGTGATGTGAACTGCGCAGGAACCAATGGCAGAAGCCAGGAAGGCTCTCGTTTTACAGGCGGGGACACTGAGGCTCCAGGAGGTGGTCAGGTGGCCAAGCTCACCATTAGTAAGTGGAGGAATCGGGATTCGAACCTGGGTCAGAAGCAGGAGAAGCCACTTCAGTGGCCTGTGACACCAGCATCAAGCCAGGGTGGAGCCAGTGGCTGGTGGGCCGGGCCGTCTCCTTTATCCCTCAGGGACAAGAATCTTTGCTTTGGTGCACCATTCCAGAACTGCACCTTAACACCAGGTTATAACGACCTAAGGAACTTGGAGGAAAAAAACAAAAAACAAAAGCCAGTAAACATCACCCACTTAAAGATGGTAATTTACTGCACATGGTAGTGCCCAGGAGAAATTGTTATCATACCTTTGCGGGGGGAGGGTGGGGGGATACAGTTTTAGGTTTGTGGGATTTTAAAAATCATATGATTTGCATTTTAGAATTAGATTACCGGGTTTCAGTGACATCTCCAGGGCCATTTTCTGAACCACAAATGAGTAAAATTTCTTGGCTTTGCTTCCTGCCTGGACCACCTTTGAACAAGCATTTTCTCAGAGCTCCTGTCCCATGTCTGCAAGACCAGAGCCATAATACTTATGTGGCAGGGCTGTCGTGAGTGTTCAGGGGGAGACCCTGTCTGTGAAGCACTCAGCACAGTCCCTGGCACCGGGGGTCACACCGTAGATATCCTGGATGTAGCTGTACCCAGACCTTGAACTTGAAGGAAATGGTCAACAAACCGAAATCCTCACCACACCCACTCTTCTGGCTACATATGAGAAAAGAGATAAGCAGGAAGAGACGTAATTTTTGCTGTCACAAAGCTCACAGCCTTGACCGTGAGAGAAGAAAGACCATGGAAACAGAAAGCAATCACATGAAACCATCTATGATTGTGTGAGTCAGGTCACTTCCAGTTGAGAAAGAAATGTACTCAAATTCACTTTCTAAAACACATTTATGGGCTCATGAAATGGAAGAGTCCACTTAATTTTAATTTTAACTATAAGGTGTCAGTGTATTAAGAGCTTCAGGTCTGGTTTGATCAAGAAGTATCAACACCAGCAGGCCCAATATCATTCAATAACAAATGATTTCTCATGCTGTCTTTACAATTCTGAAATGAAATCCACAGATAATATAATCCACCCATCACATAGTTTAATAGAAAACAAATATAGTGTCCTGTTTATAAGGGAGAGAAAACAGAATAGATTTATACTAAAAATTCACATCGATATTTAAATATTTACACACAACTCCACTAGAATATATAATGAAGTAGGCAAAAGCTTGTGCATTTAAGAGATGGGAGGCACATGTAGCTGAACATTGTCAACAGACTTACTTCAGATTTAACATATTAACATAAGGGCTACAATAGTACGTTCATACATACAAGCACATCCTGTAGAAAGTTCCTAATTATCATTGCCCAATAGAATGCTTCTTGGTTTTCCATACCTGAACTTCACAGAATGTGTGTATCTCAGCATATGTTGACGTTTACATAGGAAAAAATTGTATGTGTCTCCAATATTCAATGCAACATTTTAAACAAAATGCTGCACGGACTGCCTCTGATGCTACACTCTGAATACCTCCGGTGGGCCTTCAGGGTCACTTTAGAAGGCACATCCAGTGTCCCCAAAGGTGAGTCAGTGTCACAGCTGCTAAGAAAAGCCATGTAACTCTGAACACCACCACTGTGGATTTTCTCTTCTAGCCCCTTCATGGAAATACAATTCACACACAGTAGCCCGCACCCCTGGAAAGGCAGTGATTCAATAACACCTGACGGGTGCACACCTGGGAAACCAGCACCCCGATACAAACAAAACCCCCACCCCCACCAGATCTCTGGGTGCCCCTCTGCAGTCCACTCCTGCCCCCACTCCCAGCGCCAGGCAGCCACGGAACCGACGCTGCAACGCCGCTGCTTATGTGACAACATTATAGACACTTTGTGCCTCAGTGGGAGTGTGTCAATAGCAACTTTACTGTGTTCTGGTGGCATTTCAGGTTGGGCATCTAGCACATTATAATTTTCCCACTTGAAAATAATGGAAATAAGATTTTGCCTCCTGGGAAGGTGACATAGAAGTCATTTTTTTCCTATTCCTTCCCCCAAGTACAGTAGAAACAACGGAAGAAGAACTTGCAGGGTAGAGAGAAGGAGGGAGATAGGAGGGGGACGTCCGGACTGGGGAGAGGGTGCAGGACGGCGTAGTCCGGGGTCCTCTTGACCTCCTTTAACCCAGAGTTGGGGCTCTGAAGCTGGCAATGCAAACACACCAATAGGTGAGGAGAAAAAGACAGGAAAAAAAAAAAAGTCTGCTCTTCGCAGGCATGGGACAGGGAAAGAGGAAGCCAAGCAGGACCAGACTTTCTGGGTTTTAAAAAAAATTTTATTGAGAGAGAGAAATTTGTTGTTCTACTTGTCCTCACATTCATCAGTTGATTCTTGTATGTGCCCTGACTGGGAATGGAACCCGCAACCTTGGAGTGTAGGGATGACACTCTAACCAACTGAGCTACCCAGCCAGGGCTCAGGAGAGAAGACATTTAGATAATCAATGGTCTCCTGCATCCAAACACAGAAGTATCGGTGGCCCCACACACACCTGCACCAGCGAAGCCAGAGGAGGGAGCCTAGACTTCTGCCCTCATGGATCTGCAAGGCAGTTCCCAGTCCTCTTGCTGGGATGGCAGTAGGGAGGCCCAAGTAAGGGGCCAGGACTTTCATACCCACCAATCAGCAATGAGCTCCTGCTGGACTTTGACTTCCAATTGGTTGGTCATGCGGAGTTCCTCCTACTTCCCACTGGAGTGGCATTAGAGGAAGCCTAGGAAGAGTCAGCAATTTCACCATTGCTCAGGGGTGATGAGGCCGCCCCACCCCAGTGTCAGTGGAGACCACTGAGGAGCAGGACCTGCCCACCGGTAGTAACAGGAACCCCACCCCTTTGGTGTCGATGGTGGGAAATCTGGGCTTCTCGTTCCTTCTGGCAGTGACCAGCTGACACCCCTACCACTTGCCCTTGTCAGGGAAAGCCAGCTCAAAGCCCCAGGTTAAGATTCAGTCTCATAACATAACACAAGACAAAAATGTCCAGGTTTCAATCAAAAATCACTTGTCACAGCAAGAACCAGAAAGTCTCAGCCCGAATGAGAAAAGACAATTAATAGATGTCAACAGCAAGAGAGCAGGGATGTTAGAATTAGCTCAGAGCGATTTCAAAGGAGCCATCATACAGACGCTTCAATAAGCAATTACGAACTTGCTGGAACCGAGTGAGAAAATAGAACGGCTCAGCAGAGAATTAGGACAACTCAGCAAAGGCACGGGAGCTGGAGGGGGGGAAAAGAAAAAAGAAACAGATGGAAATGTCAGAACTAAAAAGTATAACTGGAATAAAAGTCTCTGTGGGTCACCTAAGAGGAAAATGGAGAGGACCGGGGAAAGGACCAGCAAACTGGAACAGAGCGCAAGAGAAACCATCCAGTCTGGACAACGGAGAGACGCCAGACTGAGAAAAAGGGACAGGCTCTGGGACCCGCGGGACTGTGACCGTACGTCCAGTACTCGTGGTGTCAGAGCCCGGGAGTAGAGAGAGGGCAAGTTGAAAACATACTCAGAGAAAGAATGGCTGGGAATTTCCCCAGTTTGTTCAAAGCACATGCCCTGTGCTTGCATTCAAGAAGCCAGGCAAAGCGAAGCCGCACCCTGATTGCATCCCTGAGAACTGAAGACAAAGAAAGACATTTAAGCGCAGCCACAGAGAAGCTTGTGAGATCCATGTATGTTGTGCGTGAGGCAGGGAGCTTGTTCATTATATGTCTGTGTGGCGTTTTGTTGCACGAAAACCCCACCATTTGTGGCCCCGTTGTCCTACTGAGGGACATGTGGTTTGTTCCTGTTTTTCTGTGTGTACGTGCTGCCGAGGCAAGCACTTGTTCCTTTGTCTGTGTGTGTGTGTGTGCGCGCGTGTGTGTGCCCATTAGAGAATAGGGCTGCCGTGACCATTCTCATGCAGGTCATCGGTGAACACGATGTAGGCATTTCTGTGGGGAATACACGCACGTTGGGATGCAATTGCCAGTAGCTGTGTGTGTTCAGCCTTCAAAGGAAGTGCCAGACTGCTTTCCGAAGAGCTCCAGGTGGTCCCCATCTTTGAGAAAGCCAGCAACATTGGACAGCTTCCTAAACTCCCCCTAGGGGATTATACTGCCTGCTCTGAGCATTCGCCCAGATGTCAGGGGGTCCTGACTCCCTCCCTCCCTTCGTCTCTGTCCCAAGCTGCCTCTCTGTGGGTTTCGCCTTTAGATAGGTCCCCGCGTGATGGCCGGACAGCTGTCAGCAGCTGGTGGAAAATGAGGCATTGCTCTCCCCTCCTCCAGTCCCCCCAGTCCAAGTTGAGGAATTGTTGCCATTCGTGTTCATCACGTGTGCATCAGTAATCAGTGATGGGGAGGGGTACCACACCGATGGGCCAGGCCTCAGTCACGTGCTCATCCGGGGATGGAGGTGGAGTCAGCTCCACCTGAGGTTCTCACGTGGGGACCGAGGAAGAGATTTCCCAGAGAAAAAGGGCGCCGTTACCAGAGAGTTGCCGGGTAACAAGGATATCACGTATCTGTCACAAAGGTCATAAGCTGCACCCTGTGACACGGGCAGACCTCTCCAAAACGAGCAGTGTGAAAATGGGAAGGATTTCTGAGTCAGCATCCAAACAGAAATCAGGAGGCCAATCTTAAAAGATGGCATTTATAAGGGGTAAATATAAAACTTTACACAGAGGTCTTAAAAATCATGCAAGATGGATTTTGCCAAAGCTCCTGTGAGTAAAATATATGGGCTGTTTTCCAGACGAGACTCAGTGCAAGTCCAGAGGACATCATCAGGGCCCTGGCCGGGGGCTCGGATGGTTGGAGCATCACCCCGCACACCGAAAGGTTGCGGGTTTAATGCTCAGTCTAGGTTGCGGGTTTGATCCCTGGTTGGGGCACATACAGCAGGCAACCGATCGATGTTTCTCTGACATGGATTGTAAAAAAAAAAAGGGTACATTGTCAGGGATGTAAAAGT